TTTGTCTGAAACGGTATAGGGTTTCCTGCCTAGGCAGGGGGTTGGACTAGAAGACCTCCAAGGTCCCTTCCAACTCTGCTATTGTATTGTATTCTATATGTTTTATGTATAACAACGTTTATTACATTTGAGTCATTTTGTATCCATTACCTATTATTTATTTGCTATAGTCTATTTCGTATTTGTATCTTTTAATCATTTTCTGGTTTTGTAATTGTTTATTAATTTTTTTATCTTTCTTCCTTACTTTTTTGCTTCCCCCCCGCCCCTCCCATTTTCTCTAGCCAATTATACCATAAATCCCATACGGAGTAATATTCAGATTCTTTTTTCTCTCTTCTTTTGTGAGCCTATCCAATTCTGCACATTCCAATATTTTTTTTATTACATTTTCTTCTGTTGGTGTGCAATTATTTTTACAGTTTTGTGCGAATGTAATTCTCGCTGCTGTAATTATGTGTAGAATTAATCTATGTCTAATATTTTTTCATAATTTCCTTTTATAATTCTTAACAGAAATAATTCCGGTGTTACTTCAATTTGGTGTGTGGAAATCTCCTCCAGCCAATCTTTTATTTTTTTCCAATATTTTTTCGCAGATGCGCATGTCCACCACGTATGGTAGTATGTTCCGTGTTGTTGGTTGCATTTCCAACAGATAGGTGAGCACTCCAGGAACATTTTCGCAATTCTCGCTGGTGGGAGATGCAATCTGTAGACCATCTTGTACATATTCTCTCTATATGCCATTGCCATTGTTAATTTGTAATTTATTTCCCAAATTTTTTTCCCATTCCGCCAATTCTATAGTATACCCAAAATTTGTTGCCCATGTTATCATCGCTTCTTACACAGTTTCTTCTTCCATTTTAAATTTTAATAAATAATGATATATTTTTTAATCAATTTTTCTTCAGTTCCCTGTAGAATTTTATCCAGTTCTTGTGGCTCCTTATAAAATCCACCCTTCTCTGTCTTTTTTATACCTTGCCTGTATTTGTAAATAGGGCCACCAGCCTATGTCTATTCCGTCGTCTTTCCATTCTTGCCTTGTTTTTAATCTTTCTTGGTTATCTAATATGTCTTCATATCTTATTATCTTGTTTATGTCCAATATGTTTGGGTATATCAGAGCTTCCATGGTGGATACCCAGATAGGGATTTTGTTGTGTTTTGTTGTATTTTGTTTTGATTTTCAACCTGAAGTAGAGCTTTTCTAAGTAAATGTTTTTGGAAATAGCTATGGGTTTTGTCTTTCCCATCCCAGATAATGGCCTGCCAACCCAGTTCCAAATTGTAATCTTCTATTGTTATTAATCTTCTGTTTTTTAGATTGATCCAGTCCCTTATCTAGGTGAGAATTACTGCTTCATAATAAAGCTCCCAATCAGAAAATCCAAATCCTCCTTTTTCTCTACTGTCCTGTAACAATTTTAATTTAATTTGTAGGTTTTTTCCTGACCAAATTGATTGTGCAATTAATTTGTTTAAATCTATGAAAAAGTTTTTCCCTAGGCTAATTGGTACCACTTGAAATAAAAAATATTTTTTGGTAGTATATTCATTTTAACAATGGCAATTCTTCCCATTAGTGATATTTGTAGTTTCCTCCAATTTTCCAGATCTTTCTTAATTTTCTGAATCTTTTTATCATAATTGCCTTCCTTAATTGTTGAGCATTTCCCTGTCAGCCAAATTCCTAAATATTTTACCTTTTTTACTATCTGCATTCTCATGTTTTCCTCTAATTCTTGCTCGTGTTTTGGGGTGAATTTCTTAGTAATGATCTTTGTTTTGTTCTTGTTAATTTTAAGTCCCGCTACCCTACCAAATTCCTCTATTTTTTGGATTAATTTAATTCCTGATTTTAATGGTTCCTCTAATATGAATACCATATCGTCCGCGAATGCGTGTGTTTTATATTCCTCTTTTTTATTTTTAATCCCTTTATTTCTTGATTGTTTCTAATTTCTATTAATAGAACTTCCAGTGGTAATATAAATAATAAAGGTGATAATGGACATCCTTGTGTCACTCCTTTCCATATTTTAAAGTCTTCTGTAGTGTCACTATTTATTATTACTTTTGCTGTCTGGGCTGAATATTTTGATTCTATCATCTTTATAATTTTTTCTCCAAATCTCATCATTTTTAACTGTGTGATAATGAACTGCCAATTTAAATTGTCAAATACCTTTTGGGCGTCTAAAAAGACCAGTGCAACTTGTTTTCCTGAATTCTCTTTATAATATTCTAGTGTGTTTATAATTATTCTCATATTATTTTTTAACTGGTTTTGGTAAGAAGCCGTTTTGATTTGTGTGAATGATTTCATTTAATATTTTTTATTCACTCTGCCATTATTGATGTAAAGATTTTATAATCTGCGTTTAGTAAAGAAACTGGTCTATAATTTTTTGTTTGTTGATGGTCCGAATCTTCTTTGGGTATTAATGTTGTATATGCTTCCCTCCATGATTTTGGTAGCTTCACTTCTATAAGTGTTTGATTAAATAAATCTAATATCACTGTTTCTATCTCTCTTGCATGGTTTTATAAAATTCTACAGGTATACTATCTGGGCCTGGTGTTTTATTATTTTTTGTCTCCTCAGTGCTTCCTTTATTGTGATTTTTTGTTTAGCGTTTCTCTTCTCTCTTCCCCAATTTCAGACACATGACTTCTTAAATCATCACTAACATTGATGATATTACCTAATTTGGATAATGAAATGCTTGCAGGAAAACAACCAAGCTCATAAAACATCATGGAGCCCTCACAAGGCTTTCCTCTTTTCTTTTCTTTTTTCTAAATTAACAGATACTTTATGTGACACATAGCTGAAGCTCAATGGCTGTTCTACACAACAGCCATCTTTGCTATGGGAATTGCTGGTTTCCATCACAGCCCTCATACAGAGTAATTTATATGCTACGCCACAATACAGGTGTTAAATCTATCTATTTACCTGAGAGTTTAGTAACTCTCTTGTGAGGTAACCAGGTGGTTGAATCAAGTCTAAATGTTATGAAGGAAGAAGTATTTTTTCATCTGTGTTATCCTGGCAGTTACTTTAACGGAAGTATTATGAAGGAGCCAAGAACTGGGAGACTGTGAGGTCCTGCCTTGGGGACAAAGTCAGTTTAGATGATTTTGACTCAATTACTTTCTCACAACGCTGGGAAAGAGGCAATGGCAAATTACTACAAACATGAAAAAAAAATCAAATATGAAAGCTGACTAGATGATTTTGATCCAGCCAGCCTTTCTCAGACAAACTTGCTTTGCAGGATTGTTGTTGTTGTGGAAAATAGGAGGAAGACCGAATATTAGGCATTTTCACTGCCTTGAGTTATTTACAAAAATAATAATGGCAACATAAAAAAATCTTGATGAAAAAAAAACTTTTGAAAAATCTTGCAAAAGAAATCTGCAGGGATTTGTCCAAACAGTCTTTGAGAATTGCACACAATAGAACAGAAGAAAAAAATATTATGAAGAATGGTAGATGTTTGTTTACTACTCTATTAATTTTCTCATTAAGGAAAACTTTACAAATCATATATTCAGAATATAGTGATATAATTTGGTTCTAAATTAAAATAAGGAAATACCTGTTGGAATTCCATTTTTTTTAAAGTGTTCAATGTAGTCATTACCAAAAGAATCCTTCCCAACCTACAGAGCAAAAATAAACAACATTACATATTTCAGATTACCCAGCTCATCTTGGGCAACATTCTCAAGGATGGGCAAGATATGAATTTCATGTGGTTGAGCTTCCATTAGCCCTGGCGATGACCCCTGAAGTATCTGCTTTGCAGCAATTAAAAATATTTCAAAATGCAAATATTCTGAATATGCAAGAATAAAAATGTACTATTTGTTTTTAAAACCAATAAAATTTCATTCTATATTCCTCCACTGTCATATATTTTAGAAGCAGGACCTTTATATTTCTCAATTACTGATTTTATAACATGATTAAACCCCACTTTTATAACATCTTCCTTAGAAGCAAGAAGTACTGGATTCAGTAGGGAGTCCTCTCCTCTATATGAATAGCACTGAGAACTGGGAGAGTAACACCATTTCTCTCTGGAATGAGTGCATTTAAAAGTACATTGAAGTTGGACAGTCAGGTAATTTAAATAAAAAATAATTTTTAATCAATAAAATGTTAAAGAATATTTAAAAATATGTAATAAGAACTGTAGATTTTACAACTATGCATTTAATATCTTTGATGACGAAATCACAAAAGGTTTATTAAAAATACAGTTAGTTATAGAACCAAAGAAAACTAAACAACATAATATGCTCTATGGCCTGTGAAATGATAGACATGGAAAATATTTCTTAAAGAATGAACCCATGGGAGTATCCTATTTATACACAACTTAGTAATGGCAGAGGATGCACAGCAATCACCAAATCCTGAATGTCAGAGAAAAAACAAAACAAAATACTGTAAAATGAGGTCAAGTAACAAGGATATGAATTAGACTGCCATGCCTATCCCTTAAGACAGTGGTCCCCAACCTTTCCGGCTCTGCGGAAAGGCAGCAGCGGATACAGGGGGAGGTTGTACACGTGTCTGCTTCTTGCGCAAATGAAGCTTTACATGCTCGCCTGCTCCTTGAATGGTTTGATTCCCAACTGGCCACGGACTGGTACAATCGATGAACTGGGGATTGGGGACCCTTGCCTTTAGAGACAACCATGAATTCAGTTTTAATACTGAAAAATGTTCTAAGTCTGCTCCACGTGCTCAATTATACTAATTGGATTGATACACTGCATTAAGCTATGGTTTGCTTAATAAACCACAACATTTGAGATCAGGCATCATGCCAAGTCATAAATCAGAATTACAAATCAAAATGGCTGGATTTAATATATCCACTACAATGAAACAAACAAGTACTTTATGACAATCTCATACATGAATTTATACTATTTCTCAAGTATTATCTACCCGGATTCATTGCTTTGCACATTATTTCCACTTGATGGACCTTTAGGTTCTAGTACAGGGGCATCAAACTTGATTTCATTGAGGACCGCATCAGGGTTGTGTTTGACCTCAGAAGGCCAGGGTGGATGTGGCCAGCTCGACATCACTTGTACTGGGGGCGCCTGTGGTGGCACGAGCATTCTGCCAGCAAAAATGGGTTCCTGAGCTCCATTTTTGGCTGTGGGCCAGATCTAAGCACCCCGCAGGCCGGATCCACCCCCCAGACCTTGAGTTTGACACCCCTGTTCTAGTAGAAAAGAGAAAGTAGAAAAAGGACTTTGTTCCTATGGGGAAAAATATTTGCAAACATTTCATGTTCTCCATAATTAAGCCCAATCAACTTATTTAGAAAATGTTAATCTTTATCTTTAAAAAATACAAAACTGATACTTTGTATTGTATATTTGGAAAGATGCAGAATAGACTGATTAACATAAAGTTAATTTAGCATGTCATGATCCTGAAAAATATATTAGTATTACCTATAAAGCTACCAGCTGCTTTAAAATTTAAGAAACTTGATCATGGGATGCTATGTCAGTCCTAGATTGCACAGAGTACACCATTTGCCTATCTCTATATTGTACTAACCTATTCCAGAAAAGAATACATATAATCTTTTTAGGATATTTTTTTGGGGGGTCTTGGATAAAACAGCTGTTAATTACTAAAATGAATGTGTAAATTTTGTCTGCGTTAATATTTGAGCAATTTATTAACAAGATATACTGACAATAACCTCTATAACCAGTGCTTACCTTGCAGATCATTGAGATTTTAGTCCCAAGGCGAGCTGCCTGAACACACTGGTTGGCACCTTTTCCCCCAAATCCAGTGAAAAATTTATACCCATGTATGGTTTCTCCAACTTTTGGTAGTCGTTTAGTAAGGCTGTTGAAATAAAGAAGGAAGGATACTCTTTATTACATATTAACAACTGAATTCTTAAGAGTTAAATATTTAAATATTAACCATATAGAATTGTTAAGGCCAAGTACTATAGAAATTTAACTAAAAGTAGTTCCAATAATCCAAAATTTGTAAATGCAACCTCTTTCATGCTCCTACAAGAACAAAAAATAAAACAGACCCTCACAATTGTTTCACTGTTTCAAATTAGACGATAGGTAACTAATCACAATATCGAAAGTAGTGAAACAAAAGGTGTATATAACCCACAGTTATTTGCCTAATAACAAAAGGGGGACCATTGCAGTAAGCATGCCCACTTACACAATATGCATACACTCTGAGAGAAACACCTCACCCCCCCAAAAAAAGTTCATTTGTGATTCCACAACATTTAAAACCTCTCTTTATAATGAAAATAAATAAGGAAAATATGGGCACTGGTTACACAGGCATTACAATGGCATAAATCAAAGTCAAATCGGAACGGATTATTGAAAAAAATACTTCACAGCCTAAGGACAGCCTTGGGTTAATTTTTAATATAATACAATAGAATCACTATGTAGAAACTTTATAATCCTATTTGGGAAGTTAAAAATGCTTTTTCTTTTTGTAGGTTTATATGCTTTTTAAAAATAAATTATTAATAAAAATTTGTAAAAAATAAAATATAACCTGTAATATTGTATCTTATAATAATCAAGGCAATTGCTTTAAAATTATCTTAAAACAAAATTCATGATAAAAAAAAAGGCTACTGAACATGGTTAAGGGAACTTCAGTTTCATTATGCAGCACCATCCTATATACTACAAGGCAGGACTTCTCTTTGGAAGGACCAGGCTTTCTAGCTTCTGCTGCAGCCTGGTATAGTAGCAATAGCACTTAAGATTTATATATCACTTCATAGTGCTTTACTGCCCTCTCTAAGCGGTTTACAGAGTCAGCATATTGCCCCCAACAATCTAGGTTCTCATTTTACCGACCTTGGAAGGATGGAAGGCTGAGTCAATCTAACAGCTACTTCAAACTCACAGTTGAGAGGAAGTGATGGAAATGGTCTCTCAGTAGTTGCAAGAATTAAAAGCTGATTGCAGAAGACAGGAGACATCAAAAGAGGTAAAAGAAACCCTGGAGAACTTGGGCGGGAATAGGCGGTGTAGGAAATCAAAGGCTCTTAATCAAGGGGCTGTCATAAACACATGGATATTATTGATGCAGCAAGCTGGAAAAAAACCAGTACTTTTTATACCAAAATATGTTTCGCTGAATATAGGAAGAACAGAGTATAAAAATAAGTCTGAAGGGAAAAAAATCATACCTGACCAAGATAACAGCAAGTCAAAAGTTCCCCAGCTATGCGGTAGCATGCAAGAGAGAGAGAGACCCCTTCTGTTTTAATCTTAGTTTCCCCTCTCATGTCTGAGCAGTGCAGGACAGGGCATAAACAAGCAGGTTTCTATGGCTGATCTATTGTCCCAGCCTCAGAAATGAGATTAGACTGCAATAATAGAGTTGGAAGGGACTTTAGAAATCTTCTAGTCCAACCTCCTGCCCAAGCAGGAGACTATTTATCATTCAGCAACAAGATGGAAGGATGGGGTGGGAAAAGAATGGTTAAAATTAAAATAAATTGTGAAAGCTAAAACAAATATATTGTGTCAAACATCTGGAGAACCAATCACATAAACCTTGCTTAAAATATCCAGCTTAACACATCAAAAATACATATGTCCATTTCTTCCTGAAACACACTTCCATCTCATGTTAAACCTCCTGCCAAATACACCTTAATAGATAGCTCAGGAAAATTCACTTTTAGAGATACAGCTTTTAAGAAAAGAAAGCCGTGCTATAATGTAATGCTGTTATCTTGTCACTGAATTTTGTAATGAGAAGCAATTACTAGATTTTTATTTCATTAGGCTAACTTTAAAAGCATTTCAGCCTTCTGTTTTGAAATGGCAATTATGAGTAATTTCTACGATTAAGGAACCATCTGTTACTGTGCATCTTCCATTCACATGTACACTCAAATGTGCATTTTCCAGAGGAGTTGAGCACATATATTACAGACTTAGTTATGTTTTGAAGGGAAACAGCTGCTTCTATAACAGAACAAAATAACCTAAACAAGCATTCAAGTCCAAAGTCAGAAGCTTTTATTTTTAATACAAGTTTGTCTACATACATATTACAAAAAGTAAAACAGCTCAATTATTTCTCTAACTACAGAATACATGGTCCTAACGTGAAAGAAAGACAAAAATGGTAGAAATTAATATTTATCATTTAAAGCAGGGGTATCAAATTGGTGGTCCAGGGGCTGGATGCATTGTGGCGGGCTATGCCCACCCTGGCTCTGCAAAAGCAAAAAAGTCATGATACATCATGTGACATGATCAAGTTTGACACCCAGGATTTAAAGCATAGGTGGGGAACCATGGTCCTTTTATGACTTGTGGACTTCCAAATCCTGAGCCAGCCACAGATTTTTCACTTTTGATTTAAAGAGTAGAAGGCAATACAATGAAAATTGCAAGACCAAGATAAATTCCAAATAACTGTTTGGAAGCATCTGAAGACAGGAGAAGAAGCAATGGCTGGAAATTAATCAAGGAGAGAAGCAACTTAGAACTAAGGAGAAATTTCCTGACAGTTAGAACAATTAATCAGTGGAATTGCTTGCCTCCAGAAGTTGTGGGTGCTCCAACACTGGAAGTTTTTAAGAAGATGTTGGATAACCATTTGTCTGAAAAGGGGTAGGGTTTCCTTCCTCAGTAGGGGGTTGGACTAGAAGACCTCCAAGTTCTCTTCCAACTGTTCTTCTGTTAAGGAGGAAGTAATAGAAAAGAGAGTGCTGACTCTCCCATCTGGTCTTACATACTTAGGAAAATAATCATCTCAGACTATTTCCTGGTCTTGTTGTTTTTAGTTATACTCAAACATAAAAAGAAAGTGTCAAAATGTTCAGAAAAGCTCAATTTCTATGTTGTCCGGAGGCCAACTGGATGATACAGTTAATTAGACTGCTGGTACTTGTGGTAAAAGTGGAGAGACCCAAAGAGGCTTTGCAATCATTAGGTTCCCAGAAATTAAAACATATTTTTATTAGAACGTAACATGGAAATCCTCAAACTGAGACTTCTTCTTAATCCCTGATTATGCCAGAGAAAATAACAAAGGAAGTGAGACTTGATTAAAGGAGGAAAACAAAGTACTATAACTGCTTTCAGGTGCTTTTGGGAACAGCAAAAGGTTCTGATGAATGAAGCTCCTGATGAATGAAGCTCCTAATCAGAGAAAAGATAGTTAATCCAGTAATTATGACCTCCTGGCCAGAGGATATGGTTATATCATTTTCTAAGTTGCAGAAGGAACTCTTGCCAGAAGCTTCTCCTCTCTAGCCTCATATAAGTCTTTAGAAAGCAAAATGAAGTTCCTTTTAATATTTCAGCTACTCATGTATGCAGGCAAAATATAAAGCAAATCACCCTTCAGACTATGATGGCCTTCAAAAGCCTTCCCTTAACTGTAGATGGACATATTTCTATCAGGGAGGTGTCTTACAGATAATAATCACATGGAACTTTCCAAAGTCTTGTTTCTCATTGCCTTCACAGGGAGCTTCTGCCTAGTGGTGGGACTCAAATAATTTAACAACTGCTTCTCTGCCCTAATGACCAGTTGGGTGGGCATGGCTGGGTAGGTGTGGCCAAGGGGCGTGACAGCACTCAGCCTCCTGCAGCATTCTGCAAATCACCACAGGGAAGGGGGTCAATTACAAAATGAGCTCTTTGCTTTGTGACATCCAGATCCAGCGAGCAAGGGATATGAACTGCACAGAAAATACATTTTGCTTGGTTATGAAGAAATATCCCCAAAGTCACATGTAGACTAAATGTAGACTGACTTTTAGCTATATATCTTCCTAGCAAACAGCAAATTTTGAAGCTCCAGGTAAAGATGATTCATTTTCGGATGAGTAACCACAGTTTGCATGTTGGAGGTTCCTAAAGGAATGCTGGGAAACTCTGTATTTTAAAGAGCATTTGAGGGAGGAGTGCAGAATTGCCCTTCTCTGCCTGAGACTGTATAGACCTGGCACCAGAGGTAGGTTCTTGCCAGTTCGGACCGGTTCTCCCAAACTGGTAGTACTGGCTCCAAACAGAGAGCAAACCAGTTCTCTGTTTTTGTTAAGAGGGCCAGCCTGTCCACCCCTGGGTTATACTTACCTTTATTCCAGCTTCCAAAGCCCAGCTGATCCAGAGCAGCAGCTTGAATTGCCGATCCTCAGCTGTTTTCTGACTAATTTTTGCTCAACAGTGCACATGTGCGCAGTGCACGTCTGGTGCGTGCGTGCTCAGCAAACCAGCAGTAAAGCGGTTAGGAACCCACCACTGCCTGGCACCAATCAAAACACTGTTTGTGAAGCAACTGATCAATACTAAGAGGGTAAGCCACTAGTATATGAAAATAAGAGCAAACTCCACTCCATTCCAGTACTGATGATATTACCTAGTTTGGTAATAAAACATCTACAAGAAAACCATCAAGCTTAGAAAGCACCAAGGATCCCATAGTTCAACCCTGAACTATAAATATTCTCTTCTATCAATAAACACTTTTTGGTTAAGGCAGTGTTTTTCAACCTTTTTTGTGCAAAGGCACACTTTTTTCATGAAAAAAATCATGAGGCACACCACCATTAGAAAATGTTAAAAAAAA